TAGTGTTTGGAATTATTACAAAATAGTGCAAAAAAACAAAAAAGACCATGCTCTCAAGCAAGTTTTGTAAGAAAATCTATGTCGTTAATGCAACCAAAAATTTGACAAAAAGTTAATGTGTTATATATTTTTGCAAATCCCTGGCATAAAAAAAAATATTTTCGCAATAAAAATTTTTTTTTGAAACTTTCGGAAAATTTCGGGAATTTTCGATGGAAAGTTTCCGGGAATTTTCGTCAAATGGGAATTTTCCCATCTCTATATTTAGAGGCGTAGCTAGCATGAGTGACACCCGGAGCGGATACAGAAATCCATAAATGTCAAGTATGATTTTATTTAAGTAACCGATAAAACAAATTGAGAGTCACTAATAATCAAATTAAAATATTTTAATTATGTTTTTTTTATTGACGTATGGAAGTTAAGTTCCCAGAAAGAAGTATCTTGATCTTGAACTAAAAAGAACCCGAAACGAAGAGCATGATAATAAAGGTTAATGAAAGTTGAGAAAGCGAGGGAGGTATGGATCGTAGCAAGTGGAAACCCGTAGAAATATGTGATAGATAAGCCGTTCATAGGCGCCATCCAATAGACTTGCAGTACCAGACGACTGTTTCATTGGCTATAAAAAAGTTATGTAAACAATAGTTATAATAATAAATAAATAATAAGTTTTTTGCGGTCGGGTGTCACCCCTCGAACGGGTGGAACCCGGGGCGGGTGGGGTATATTAATAGCTTTTCACAAATAGAATATACACCAGGATTCCAAAAAGAAAAAATTAACCAGAATAACCAACATTTATTTTAACATTTAACACATATTCAATAATAGAAAATATTAACAAAAGAGTTAACTTTACAGTATACGGACGACGCACTATGTCGTAAACAGAGTGATTAGGTGACCAAAAATATTTTTGTTGAAAAACATATTGAAAATGCTTTTTTGTTATACAAAAAGATAATTTTTAATAAATTTAACCATTAGTTAGGATTAAAAGAAGCTAAGTACAGGGTGAACCACGTAAGATAACCCATATGCCTATCTCAGAAACAACTGTAGTCATGAAAAATTTGTAGGGAACAAAAATATTTGAATTAATACATATTTTTTAATGTTGTAATTTAATTTATACAGGGTGTTCAATTTTTTCTGGGACGATACCAATTTTATTATTTTTGATTTTTACAACTTTTTATTCTACGTACTTTTTATGTTTTTAATGGCCTTTTGCAGAGCTGAAAGGGATTCCGCACTTGTACTCTTATCCTGTTAAAGTTTTCTGTTTAGATACCTCATCTGCCATTCATTTTTCTCAAATCCGTTAGATTGCTAAATTTGGGTATTTGATATGGATGTTGTTGGCAAGAAAGTTAAGAAGTTATTTTTATAGCCAATTGGCTATAAAAATTAGTTTTAAATTAATATATATATATATTATATTTATGTTTTTAATTAATTTTAAGGCGCCAGATTAAAAAAAAACTCGGAAATAAAGACAAAAGTTTATAAAAATGAGCTCTAATACACATTTTTTGACATAAAATCAAGTGTAGCCAAGTTTCTCAACATTTCCCTTCAAAATCCTTAATAACGACCATTATTCATATATTAACAAACACTTCCACACACAAAAGAAATTGGGGCAACCTGGGGCACCATTACTATTTGCAAAAAGTTTGATTGAATGCACGTTAAAAAAATGACAAAATTTGGACGGCTATTACTATATATAAAATAAAATATTTTTTTAATTTTTAACGTTATACCTTAAGAGACATTTATTTTAAAGCAATCTACCAAATATAACTCCTGTTAATTATAATTTATAGTTTTAATCGCTTATTTTCCAAGCGCGAGTTATTTATATAAAAAAATGTGTTTGTGCATTGTTTTAAAATTTTATACGTCACGGTCCTTATTAATATTTTATAAATAAACAAATGGTTGTACATTGTCAAGAAAAGCATAATGATCAATTTAATGTATATTTTTTTGCTGAAAGGGCAACTTCAGAAATCGACTTTTGGTCACCTATACAGGTCAAATACGACACAGTGCGACGCAAAGTAATAATAGAAACAGAACAACAGAAACATAAATAAAAGCACCAAAATATTAACAAGCACATTAAATAAATTACAAGACAGGTTAAAAAATCTAAACTTTAAAATAAACCCCTATAAAACAAAAATAGTGTATTTTACTCAAAAAGCGCCAAATATGACACAACAGGCATATGGCTGACAGAAAATGTTCCTACAATAAACACACAACAAAAATCACAAAAAACTAAAAAAGACTGCAACATTCTAAAAGTGAGGACCCTATATATCTGGGGTCAGGACCCACTAAAAACAAATATTAACAAAAAATATGCCTAGAAACACTTATACACGTCCTGGTCAACAAGATAGTGGTTAGTTTAGAGCAACACATAAAATAAAATTACTGAACAACCAAAAAATCATATATGGAATATACTCTTGGTATGCAAGTATATCCAAAGAAGCCCTAGTTTATGTCAACAGCACATTTTCACCACACGACTTTTCATTACATCATCGTACCAAACATCAAATCCAAAACCAAAGACTTACAATCGATCCGCCAATGTATCGGTAGGAGTCGGGTCGCGGTTGGGCTTGGGGTTGGTTCGTGCTTGGCCCATTCACTATACGAACCCGGCCTGACTCCTAACCCAGACCCGACATCTACCGCAAAAGTATTAATTATATTCACTTTTTAATGTACCTTTGTTCATACCAAATTATTGGCCAACTTTGATTTTTATTTATTTTACTACCTAGATTTTTACAAAAGGTATAAAAACGTTGCCTAAAATTAAAATAATACTTATTAAAGACGTAATCTACTCATAGGGGTTTTAATTTTAATTCAAAATAAAATAAAAAAGCATTTGGTTTATTGCAACAGGGCAATTCCATGATTACTAAAGGGAGAAAAAGAAAGACAAACTGTTTTTATGAATATTTTTAATGATGTGTTGTTCCTATAACAATTATTTTATGACAGTTTTTATTACTTAATTTTATTTATGAGAACTATCATACAATTATTATTATAGAAACAACACATCTTCAAAAATCTTCATAAAACATTTTGTTTTCTTTCTGTTGGTCCCGTTAGTAATCATGGAATCGCCCAACAGCTTACTGACTTGAGACTATTAAATGTAAAAATAAGGTTAGATATCAGTTTCTACAAGGCCTTATTCAATACGTATTTAGAATTCTTTTAAATTCTCTTTAAATTTGTTGGACTGAATGTGAATTTTTAATGCTACAATTCGGAATGGGTTCTTGGTAAACTATTTGTTTCACTCTTCCCAAAACAGAAAAATCCATAATAGTAAAGTCTGGGGATCTGGCCGGCCAAGAAATTTCGTTTATTCTCCCAAACCATCTTTAACCAAACCAGCCAATCAGTAATCATTTTTATAGAATGAGCGGGTCATCCCTTTTGTTAAAAATAATGCGATTGAAGAATATTTAAAGTTCGATAATAAAAGCTTTCAGAATGTGTAAATAGGTGTGCTTCAATGAAATATGTTCCGATGATTCCTAGTTCGTAGGACACAGCACACCAAACTTTTTTCGTGAATTAAGTAGTGAGGATTATATTTGTACCAATATCGGCAGTTTTGTGGCACGCCATTTGTACTTGTACTTGTACTTTCATTAGAAAAAATAATTAATTTTGGAAAATTTCTGTTTTTTTTTAAATTAATCTTCCAAAGACAGACGGAAACTCAATCTAATTGCTTCATCACCTTTTTAAAAAGTGTAGCAAAATTTAGCTTTGTAAGGATGAATTGACTTTGACGGAGTCGTTGCATTTTAAAACTAATTTTTGATTGTAAACAACTTGGCCAATAATTTTGAAATTAGGACCTAACTTTTCTTAATAATATTTTGTCGTATATCCTTTATTAAAGACTACCTACATAAAATAGTATATTATGTATTAAGTTTGATGTTGATGTTGATTTTATTCACGAATTTAATTTAGGCACGAGCGAGCTTGCGAGCAAGTGCTTAAATTAATGAGTGTATAAAAAAGTTTATAAACGAGGTGCATACTATACTTTTTCTACGACAAATACTTATTATTATCTTAAAATTATTTAAATCAAAAATTTGTATAGAGCGCCATCTATGAAACAATAGGGGAATCTGTGTGTCACCGTCAAATGTCACATTTTTATTTTAAAAACACACATTATAAAGGTTGACAGTAAAATTGACAGGTTTTCACAGGGAAAGTAAAGAAAATGTTTTATGAGGACTTTACAGTGGAGTCCGTGTCCGAATTTAAGTTATAGTTTACTGCCGGCGAAATTAAAAGGTCAGTACAATGTTCATATATACTTTTCAAATATTGGCGTTGAGAGACTATTTAATACTTTTGTATTTTTGTATTGAGATAATAAAATAATTTTCACATTTAGTATTATTTTACAAGAAAGGCACTTTATTTTAACGATTGTATGACATTTGACAACTGTCAACTAACTTAAAACTAACTTCAGCCCGTGACTAAAAACCTGTTGCTAACTTCAGCCCGCGACTAAAGCGCCATAAAGCCACAACTTGTCAATGTGTATTTAAAAGGTCACTTAATGTCATGGAAACATGTACGATAAAGGACGTTTTAAAGGTGGGAGTAGAAAAAATATTTTTTTTAATATTTCCAGGGCATATTTCATTTTTCAAAATTTAAATTATGTTGAAAATAAATATTTTATCAAGCAGGGCTGAACCCCCGAAAATGAAAATTGAATTCAATTTTTTTTTCAAGAGTTGTTTTACCTATCCGGGAATACACTGTATAATATATTGTGCTCGAGAATTTTTAAAAGCGCTCGAGCACTTTTGAGCGGTTTTCGAGCAGTTATAAGCTTTCTTAAAAGTGCTCTAAAAATAAAAATAACTTCAAACTTTTAAATAGTCAGGAAATAAATCTTTTTTTCTTACCTATAAAATGGTGGGGAAACATCCCTGTAACGTCCAGTAACATCTGGTGGGGATGTGACCCATAGGTTTCTACTGTAAATAGATCTACGAAAACTGGTAGCAGATGTATCTCTCCTTCTTCTATACATGCTCCTGAAAAAAATGATTATTATGAAACATTACATTACAGAGAGAACTAAATATTAAAAATTAAGTTTTAGAATAAATCATATATCATTAAACGTAAAAAAGTGCAATTTAAAATATAAAATAAGATTTATTTATTATTATTATTATTTATTATTTATTTATACTTCTATGAGTATTTTTTATTTGAAGAGCTACAAGGTTGGTTAAAGTAGAGAAAAATTGCATAATTACAAGCCTATTAAAATAAAATTTAAAAAATAGAAAAAAGCCAGCGGTTCTTAAAGTATTAAAAAAAAACTAAAAACCTTTTTAAACCAAAAAACGTTTTTATTTATGTAAATTTTGTAAAAAAGTAAGTTTTACATGAAAACATTAATATACTTTTTTACGCTGTATTTTATGTTACTATGTTTTGAGTTGCCATCACCATCTTTTGACTCCATAACTTATGTAGTTTGATACATCTTTGGCTTTCTTATTTTTTTCTATCTAACCATGTAAAATTCTAATATGGCGCCAATAGGAAAAACTTGGGAAAAACAAAAGATGGTGGTGCTATCTCAAAATCCAGCAGGCAAAAAAAAATTGTATGAAAATGTAAATAAATGTGCATGTTTGCATATAAAATTTACTTTTTTCAAAATATCCAGGAATAACGTATTAATAAAGATTTTTAGTTTTTACAGGTTTTCAGTTTTTAAGAAGGGCAGATTTTTTTCAATTTTTAAATGCTATTTTAAAAGGTAATTACGCAACTTTTGTCTAATTTAACCGACCTTGTAGCTCTTAAAATAGATAACCATATATAGAAGGATGCTTGGTGCACCCTGCAGGGTATACATGTATACGTTTGTGTTTTACTGAACCACTATTTAAAAACCAACCACCGACTATTCTTATAATAGTCAGTGGTTTGTTTTTAAATATAACTTAATACAATATAATATTGTATTCATTTATAAAACAAATTAAAAACCATAGCTGGGCTTTTAATTTGTTTATATAAAATAAAAACCGTGGTGCCAGCTTCAGCTTACGGATGACTACACAGAGCAAAAAAAATCGAAGGGCGGCAAAAAACGCGGGGAAAATTGTTTGTTAAAAAATGCACAGTTTAAACTACTAAACTTCCTGGATATTGGATGTGTTCCTTAATTTACTGCCATTACTATCAGTTATTTTATTGTCAGTAGCGGAAAAGGACCGTTCCGTAATTTATTCTGTACTGACGCAAATTACGTCATTTTGTCATTGTACAAAGGCTACGCAAGGCTATGTTTTATGACATTTGACAAACTTTACTTTCGACACCAGCAGAAAAATATGGAAAATAATAGTATATTATGTATCAAGTTTGATAAACGCCATTTTATACACGAATTTAATTTAGGTACGAACGAGCTTGCGAGCGAGTGCTTAAATTAATGAATGTATAGAAAAGTTTATAAACGAGGTGCATACTATACTTTTTCTACGACAAATACTTATTATTATTATCTTAAAATGATTTAAATCAAAAATTTGTATAGAGCGCCATCTATGAAACAATAGGGGAATCTGTGTGTCACCGTCAAATGTCACATTTTTATAGTTTATAAACACAGATTATAAAGGTTATAAATCGAAATGTATTTCTTGAAAATTTACAGTTTTTCACAGTGAAAGTAAAGAAAATGTTTTATGAGGACTATACAGTGGAGTCCGTGCCCGAATTTAAGTTATAGTTGACTGCCGGCGAAATTAAAAGGTCAGTACAATGTTCACATAAACTTTTCAAATATTGGCGTTGAGAAACTATACTTAATACTTTTGTATTTTTGTATTGATATAATAAAATAATTTTCACATTTGGTATTATTTTACAAGAAAGGTACTTTATTTTAACGATTGTAGGACATTTGACAACTGTCAACTAACTTAAAACTAACTTCAGCCCGTGACTAAAAACCTGTTGCTAACTTCAGCTCGTGAATAAAGCGCCATAAAGCCACAAATTGTCAATGTGTATTTAAAAGGTCACTTAGAGTCATGGAAACATGTACGATAAAGGGCGTTTTAAAGGTGGGAGTAGAAAAAATGTTATATACATTTTTCGACGCAGACGACGATAATAGGAAATATAAAATTTCACTGACACTACAACTATACGCCAAATACCGACAATGACTCTTAAATTTGTCCGCTGAATACAAATATACAACATTTTCTAGGTAGTTTAATATTTTGGGTCTTCGTATGCGTACTCCCCGGCGACCTGCCCGCCATCCTCCTTTAATTAACTCGGCTCCTTCGTCACTGCTTTCAATAATAATTATTGAACTAATTAATAATTAATAATTCACCAAATACCGTTATATCACTTTATATGACAGCTATTTTTTATGTTTAAAATTTTGGTTAGGTATGAGCCACAGAACTTCTCTGTTACCAGTTGTTTCAGTAAAATTAATCTGCCGTAAATATATAAAAGGGTAGTATTTACTACTGAGCTCAGTAACTGAAAGTGGATTTCAGAATGTGTTTTCAGTACTGACAGTAAATTACGGAACACAACCATCATTATAAGTTATATCATACAAGTCATATACTTTATTTTATCTACAACTGTCATGTAATGACTCCTTGAAATTTCATAATAAGTTTTATTATCGCACTAGTGCTTTTTTGAATTTATTACCGCACTAGTGTGTTAATATATTAAATTAAGCTCAAGGTATAAGATTATATAAAAACTAATTTATTGTAAACATTAACAGTAAAATCTTTACAATTAGATAAATTAATTCCAGATGCTGACATGCCTAACAATTTGCTGGAAATATTTTGAGTATGAACGTAGTTTGTGGATGTTAATGGAGTAGATAGATGTTGAGGCAATATTCTCCGCTTCCGGAAAAACATCCTCGCTAGCCCCTCCTAGAATTTTCACAGCCGTTCGTTTCGTGTTTTCACTAGAAGTTTTGATGTAGCCTTCAGCAACCGAATTAGATTTCCAGCCACCATTTCTTTTTACGGTCAAAAGATCTGCCACAGAATCAGCCAAAAGAGAGGTAGAAGATCTCCGAAAACAATGCCCGGTATACTCTTTTGGATTGGTCAACTGAAGAAACTGGGCAATAAGGTTTGGAACACCACCTATAGTATTTATTCCAATAGGTTGCCTAATGCATTTCCCTGCTCTATATCCTACAAAAAACGTGCATGGTCGCAGTCTTTAGGTCTTAAATTAATGTATTTTCTGACCACTTTTACTAGATTCACACCCTCAATATTTCCAGATGTTGCAAAAAATTCTCTAGAGACTTTTGTTTTGGTATTTGGGATTATGATTTGAAAGCAACTCCTTCGTCTTTCACATTTTCTACAAGCAAATTTGTAATTTCTTCCCACCGACACGCGCCCGCAAGCCAATTATCAAAATAACCTAAAATAATTATTGCATTTTTTGCTCAAAATAATATTTCCGATTTGCAGCATCTAACAAAAATTTAGTTATTTCTTTCTTTGTTAATACCTTGGACTTTTTAGGTTTATACCCATCCGATTTTTTTTTCAGGAATGCAATTAAATTTACATACTTCTTGATGTCGACATTCTGCCTAATTGAAATTTCTAATTTTAACATCAACAACTTAAAGCTTAATTTTCATGTATCCGTTTGTCCGTTAGTCCGATCATCCGGGAGCGCTCTTATTGGTCAAATTATAATTCGAAAATTGTGACATTTTATCGGTCCGGCAAGTTTCAACTTCGTACGTCTGACGGAGAAAGTTAAAATAATTTTAACTCATCCGTCACTACACATCTTAGGGCCGGTTTTTCAATCGTTGGTTAAGTTTATCTTACGGTTAACTTTCTTAGATACTATTATGTTAACCACAATTGTGATGTTAACAATTAATAGTATCTAAGGAAATTAACCGTAAGATAAACTTAACCAACGCGTTGCAACGATTGAAAAACCGGCCCTTAGTCCAGGATACAAAGATTGTAGAAGGAAAACTCGATGGTAGTCGGGTTTTATTTTTTTTTATGTAGTCCCTCGAAAGGGGAGTTTTTTTGCTTTTAGGCTCATAACTCGCTAACCATGCATTTTTTCAGAATTTGACCTCTAATATTTTTGATTATGTACTAAATAAGGCACACGTTAAACCCCCTTTTGCTATGCGCAGTGTGCAAAGTTAAGCGTAATATATATATATAGCATCATATTCTTTATGGTAAATGGCACGAGACTTCACAGGAAGTAAATCCAACTCGATTTATTGGGCCTTATTAGCAATATATTCGGGAACATTTTAAAATGTATGTGACTTTCTAACAAATTTCGAATGACATTACAAAATTATCAAATCAACAAACTTTTTGCTGAGTCAAGCCACGTCAAGTGGGACCAGAAAATTTCACGAAATCACCGATTTTGAAAATAATCACATTATTGTGTAGTAGGCATGACTCATATGTCACAGTAAAAAAAATATTTTAAAATTCTTTTTTTTTTGGTAATGTTATTAAGGTTAACAATTTTGTCAAACTTTAGAGCACGGTAAAATTGAAAAAATAGAATCTCTGGGACCACTCTGTATAATTGAATTAAATTTTACACACTAGCAATGTTTAGACTATATTATGATCATTTAATTATAGTAAATTTGTTTAGGTAAAACAATTTTGCATACATTTATTATAAACAATTGAAATTTTGTATGTGTTCTTCACGCTGAAAAAAATTAAACTTGTGTCATAATATGCCGCAAACGTTCCCGTTTTATAAAATGTACTCAAAAATGTGTCCTTCATATGTCATTCCGGAGATATTAATTTTTTTGTCCCGCTGTGCGCTTGATCAGTACGCAGCGCGCTTCGCTTCTAGCTCGTCAGCATGCGGTGTGCCTGAACGAGGTTTAAGTCACATAAAAATGCCGCTAAAAACTGACTGAGGTTAATACAGGGTTAGCCAAAAATCACGTTTTTTTATAGTAAAAAGCATAATACACAAAAAAGATTTATCTTCAAAAATTTCAAAAAAAATCATGAATTTTCAAAAAATTTCGAAAAGAGTAGCAGCTGGGATTTTGGTAAATATCATTTTAAGTCACCAAAGGGTCCCAAACAAGAAACTGCAGTCAGTTTTTAGCGGCTGACGAGCTAGAAGCGAAGCGTGCTGCGTACTGATCAAGCGCACAGCGGGACAAAAAAATTAATATCTCCGGAATGACATATGAAGGACAAATTTTTGAGTACATTTTATTAAACGGGAACTTTTTCGGCATATTATGACACAAGTTTAATTTTTTTTCAGCGTGAAGAACACATACAAAATTTCAATTGTTTATAATAAATGTATGCAAAATTGTTTTATTTAAACAAATTTACTATAATTAAATGATCATTATATAGTCTAAACATTGCTAGAATAGTGTGTAAAATTTAATTCAATTATACAGAGTGGTCCCGGAGATTCTATTTTTTCAATTTTACCGTGCTCTAAAGTTTGACAAAATTGTTAACCCTAATAACATTACCAAAAAAAAAGAATTTTAAAATATTTTTTTTACTGTGACATATCAGTCATGCCTACTACACAATAATGTGATTATTTTCAAAATCGGTGATTTCGTGAAATTTTCTGGTCCCACTTGACGTGGCTTGACTTTGCTATGATATCAATTATTTCTAAGCCAACTTTTTCGAACATTAGATTTAAAAATTATGGAAAATTTTCAAATTTAAGCGTTCTGAAGAATTGTATGACAAAAAATGGTGTTTGTCACACGTACCTAAATGAAGTTTTTCAGGACTCATCTGCTAATCCGGAAACAACGATGATTCGTCCTGAAAAACTTCGTTTTAGGTACTTGTAACAAAAATAACTATTATTAATTACACTGTAGGTAAATTTTTAAGTTTTAAAACGTCACAGCTAAACGCTCGGACACGTTGTTAGATAATTATTAGATTTAAGTATACATTTAAATTAACACTAGCACCCTTGGTGCGGTTCGTAAGTAAAGAACCATGGCAAACGTCACATAAATTGCCTTTATATATAATATTACTTTAAAAGGCCACACACTAAGGGGTTTGGGGCATATTTTCGTGAGAACTGAATGTAAGTTAGTTTTTAGTCAGGTTTCTTTTTGAACACTCGTGTATAATAATTAGTAAATTACTTAATCAACTACCCGTGTTTAATTAAAATACATCTCTAACAACGTAAACATAATTTTTGGTCGTAGATTCAAAATCCGTGCTCGGTTTAGATGTATCAGGTCCTATCCGGGGCCACACTGTATACTGGTTGTTGGTTTTATTGCAAAAATAATATTCATTTATAAATGTTTAGTCTAGAGCATATTAGCCTGCTAGTAGAGCTGTCAGTTATTTTTTATGTGACGATTTTTGTACTAATTAATCAGCTAATATTTAAAGTTCGAATGTACAAATACCACCAAGCACTTTCAGTTGTATAAAAGTATTCAGTCCAAGATATACAAAATACGGCTCTTAAATAAAGTTAAAAGATAAAGTTACAATCACAGTTTTACTTGGATCCACCATACCTACTATTACTGGTATATTATAATTTGTAAAATAATATATTTTACCTATTGTGCCAACATTTATTTCATTTAATATAATATCCTCAATGGGTCATTCTTAAATTTGATGTTTTCACCTTGTTTTGAAAATATAGAAAAGAAAATGAAATTACTATTCTGTTAATATCAAACGATGTTCTAGATTTTTTAGGAACAACTATCTAGTATGCGCGAAAAATTTTTTTTTCATGTTAAAATAATTAAAAAATGCACACAAATATCACTTCCGTGGATGTAACCATTTGTGATTCTCCAACATTATTTAATTATAATATGCTGTACTAATTTTGTACTAACTAATTTTCATCAATATTCATAAGTTAGTATACTAGCCTACCAATATTTGCTATTTTTACATTTATTTCAGAACTTGCCATTTTTTAAGCTTTACAATGTTTGTATCCGAAGTAAAGCATCATTTCCGTGGACAACACAATATCCCAGTAAATTTTGTAAATAGTGGCAGCAATGTTCTTCCTGCCGCCATGATTGAATGCGCTTTTGCCTCAAGAATATCGTTTATCTGCTAGTAGCGTCGTGTTATGTTTTGTTTTTCATTGTTTGTAACAAAAATGTTGCAATATTAATTATGTTAAGCTGGCGTGATCACTTCTGTGGAGTCGACAAAAAAGGTAACAGCAGCTGTCGATTTTATATTGACTATTTCCCTCGTCTTAATTTCCACCAATCACAAACGCGCAATTTTGAATTTCTAGGTGGAAAAACTGTATGACTACTTGTCAGCAGTTTTTTCGAGTTTACCCGCGGCAAAACTTGACAGCTGCTGTCAAGTTTTGCCGCGGGTAAAGTGTGTGATTTGTGGAAATTAAGACGAGGGAAATAGTCAATATAAAATCGCTCTGTTAGCCACGATCACGTTGCGACGCTTCGGTGGATAGAATCAATAACGCAGACTATTTAAATAATAAACGAAGTATGCTGTTGCAACATCAATTTTAATTATCTTAAAAACGAAAAATAGAATTTGACTATTTTAAGACCTTTTAAATGAGGTATCACTTGCCCTATCATGCATGAAAAAAATTTGACCTACCCAATGCACACCCAAAAAGGTTTACCTAGCAACAACACTGTACCCCTTATTAAAACCCATTTACTATGACTCAAAACAGAGTACAAGGACTTGCTTTAGTTGATTAAACCTAATATAGATTCTAATTTAAATGTTGATAAAATAATTAAACCTTTTGCTAAACAAAAAGCTAGAACACTTCTTTTTTTAAGCTTAAGTTACCAAGATACACTTTTTAATTTTTGAACTTATATACTTGATTACCTAAATACTAACTAACTAGTTGTCACCCTAATATAACAAGGTTATATGTTAAAAAACCGAAAAATTTGAGTTTATGCTTCTACAAGGTTTTATGCAATCCACCCTTGACATACAACTTCCTGTAGAAACATATTTTTTTTTTTTAACATACAACCTTGTTATATTAGGGTGACATAGTGCAATTATATTTTATTTATTTGTTGTTTGTTTACTTTTTTGCAAATATATTTTTAACAATATATTGTTAATTGTATAATATGAAAATTGTACACAATTATCATATTATACAGGGTGCACCAAGTATCCTTTTATGTGTATGGGTATTATTTATTTTTTTTATTTATTTATTTACCCATAAAGATCAAAGGTCCATAACAAGTATAATATAATAAAAAGTTAAGTGAACGTAACAATCTTTTGACTAATATTTTATTTAATTCTGTAGTTTAGCTTCTTTCTTCAAATATTAGGTTTTTCACAGACCGCTGGAAAGTGTTGATATTTGGTAGATTCTTAATTTCATTTGGGAGTTCATTATAAAGTTGCGCTGCAGTTCTAGTTATGGGTATTTTTTTTATTTGAAGAGCTACAAGGTCAAAAATTGCATAACATACCTTTTAAATTAAAAAAACAGCAGTTCTCAAAATATTTGAATAAACTAAAAACCTGTCAAAACCAAAAACATTATAACTTTGTTATTCCTGTAAATTTAAAAAAAAAAAAGGTTTTACATATAAACATACATTAATCTACATTTACATCCAATCCTTTGCTACTATATTTTAAGTTACCATTGCCATCTTTTGATGAGATGAGATGAAATCTAGTAGAGAAAAAAATGGATGTAAATGTAGATAATTGTGTATATTTACATGTGGATCTTATATAAAAGTTATAATGCCTTTTGGTTCAAATATTCCGTTTTTTCAAATTATTTGAGAACTGCTGATTTTTGTTCCAATTTTCGCCATTTTAATAGACTTGGAATAATTCAACTTCTGTTCAATTTAACTGATCCTGTAGCTCTTCAAATGAAAAAGACACCCATACATAGGATACTTGCACATATAAATAATTGTATATGTATTTAGGTTAGATCAGTTTAAATTTTAGCAATAGCTAAATGGGCACTACAAAGTAGGTAATAATTGTTAAGAGAGGCAAGCACAAATAACTTTTGCACAGTCCAACAAAATTTCTGGAGTTGGCCCAGGTGATAGGCAGCCAAACAAATCAATTGTAATTTGCAAAAACATACTTGATAAAAAGTAGTCAATATTTAACAATAAATTATTTAGAATTGCATATAATATTTCATGTTAACCTGAAGATTTTATTGAAAACCTGGACCAGCTACCAAAATCCTGCAGACTTAAAAATAACGTACCTTCCTGGGTATCCAATGGAAATACCCCCATTGGTGAGAGGGTGGGTAAGAAGCATTTGCTGGATGGCATGTTCTCCTCTGGTGTCAACTGTAAATGTTGTTCTAAAAATAGATTATAAAACATGTGCCATATTTAATTTTTTTGTTTCCTGACCTGAAATGGAATTGGTGCCTTGTGGGTTGAGGTAAAAATAGAAACTGTTCATCAATAATATGTATATCCTCATTTGGAATAGTTTCAACAATATGTTCATCATACTCATCATTTGATTTAACATTGTGTATAATTGACTTAAAGGGCTGTTTGCATAATGGGCATTCAGCTTTTATCTAAAATACCGAAAACCCTTAATGAATGTTGCACTAATAAAAAAAATATTATTTACCTTTGACCATTCCAGTAAACAATTGAAGCAAAATTGGTGCATACATGAGTCGGAAAAACATTTGTTTGCACAATGACCCAAACAAATAGCGCAATTTGGCTCCGGACTTGCAGAAGTCGGACGATTTGTGACAGTTTTGGCTTCTGCCATTTTTATATCGACAACTTATTACTAGAAATGGACTTTAAAACTGAATGGAACGATTTGTCAACTACTGTCAAACTTTCTTGACCTTGTCTTTATCAAAACACAATAAAAACCCGTCCAAAATAAAGTTACACATAATACCCGATGCACACATATCGTTATCACAACATAAAAAATGAATTTTCCTATAACATTCTGTAAATTTCTCCCGAGTATCTGGAACTCCAAAACAGAAAATAAAACTTCAGAAACTTGACAAACGTGACTGAAGTTAGAAACAAAACAATTTTAAGAAGAAAAGGAATACCAACACAGATTATAAGGTTAATACCAACGTTTAGAATACAAAATTACAGGTTTCTGTTTAATGTCAACGAGTAGTTCAAACTTAATTTAGAATAGTTTAAATGTCTCGTTTCTGTGCTACAAAACTCAAGAAGACTAGAAGAGTTCAGTTTTGTCTTTCGTGTGGAGCACAGACGTTTGTCTGAAGACTTTGTCTACAGACTCTGTGGTGTGGAGTTCGATTTTATCCTTCATCGGTAGTACATCACTCCATGAAAAAGTCTGAAAATAGTTGACTTTGACCCAGGAAGGATAAAATGGGGTTCCCGGTATAGAAATATACCGGTATTTCTCGACAATATCGCAAGCTTTGTCCTTTCAGCGAGGAATTTTGTGATTTGTGCAATCGATTTAGTGGATGTTTCAAGATTTGAAATTCCACATGTCCGTGAGTGGATGGCTTCGTGAAACTCAAGGACGTTAAAAACTTGTTGCTGGTCAAAATGGTACATTGATTCCAAGACCATTAAGGCGTTGAGCCACCAAGAAAGAAGAAGTCAATGAATAGTTTGAAATATAGGTGACTCTTCGACCTAGGACTCCTATTTTAGTTTTATAACTTTCCATTGTTCAAAAATAATTTATTTTTTCAGAAGAAAGCTGCAAAGAAGAATATAATAATTTAAATTAAAAAATCGCCTCTGGGGACAGTTAGGTTACAGGACATTTCACCTTGTTTTTCTGCCATATATAGAAACACAGAGTAATTAAAAAAAATACGATGGGTCCTAACAGGAAGAGGGTATTTAAATATAATAAATACAAAAGTCAAAAATAAAAATAAAATTAGCTGGGGACAGCAAATGTACATTTAACGAAAATTTGCCCATATGTAAAATAAATTTTTATTAACCCTTAAAAAATTAATGAATACTGTTGGAATTACAATTTTTTACAGTAAAAAAATGTATGTTTTTTAAACGTTACTTAAATGCATAACTTTAGACGGATTTGCAATAATAACGCTAGTTATATACACAGAATAATGCAATAATAGTCCACCCTGCTTAAAATACCCCATAGAGACCTATACAAAATAATCTATCGGGCGCTACCGGATTCAATATATGCATTACCTATAGGCACACCATAACTTTTACATTTTCCCTATTGAGACCGATAGCAATTGCTATTTAAATAACTCAATGAAGGATATATAGGGATATCCCTATAGGGATATATATATATATAGAGCAACCATAAAACATTTGACAAAATTTTATTAAAACCTATGGGGTCCTATAGGGGAAAAACTAATTTCTACATTTATGTGTATTTTCCCCATTGAAACCGATAGTAAATTAATCAAAGGTGGATATCCCTATAGAACAACCATAAATCTCAACTATGGGTCCTATACAAACTGATACACCCTATAGAAACACCATACATCCCGATACAAATATCTATCAGTTTGAACAGGGTCTCTATGGGGTATTTTAAGCAGGGCAACGTTAAACCCTACAAAATATGTTAATATTGAGAAAATACCAATTAACACAATTAAAATTGTCAAATATGGCTAAAAATATCCCTACAAATGGCCAAATATTGAGATATACCAAGAATTTTATGCTAATTGGCTAAAATCGAGTTTGATACTCAGCTGTCTGGGAAATATGAAGCCTTTCATATAGGCTAGCCTAATAAGTCTATAAGTTTAAAATAAGACCATTTCTTACTAAGATATAATTTTATTGACATTCTTATGTAGTAAAAATAAATATAAATTCAGAAATACAAAAATCAGCTGTAAGTAACTACTGAACAATAATTTGTGTAAGCTTTACAAGCCAAACATGAATTAAATTTTAAAAAATAAATTAGTTTACCAAATTTTTTATATAAAAATACAAACAACAACGATCAAAAAACTATATATCCATACAAGTATATTACAAAATTATTATCACTTAAAAATAGTCATGCCTATTTTACAATTTTTGTTAATTTTATAGACTAGTACTATACACAGGTGTATGCTTATGATTTATACTTAATAGGTACTATATCCTAAATAATTCAAAGAAATACTATGTAGAGAATTTAAAAATTCAAAAATTATATGTATGCAATATCATTAAATAATTATTATTTAAATCGAATTTTTAAAATTCTCATAAATAACTGCCTTTACTGTAAAAAAATACAAGCAAAAACAAATTATAAACCTTAAAAATATACAATAAACAACCCATTGTGCAAATCTTTTTTATACAAAAAATATTTTAGGTGGGATCATGCTTCTAAATTCTATATTTAAAAATTAAGCGATCTCGGTTTTAAACCGTTTGTTCTTAATAAGAGATGAGCCCTTTCAGTCATCTCAATTTGGTCTACAGTTCTGCCACAAGCCACCATTGCCCACAACGTGTCCAACTATAACAAAAATTAAAACATTAGCTTATATATATTAATTATAATTCAAAATTCCTTGTTTTTGTATTGTAGTGTTTTGTGTTAAAACTTATTTTACTTGCTGTTTTATCTCTAAATATTATTATACATTATTATTATGTTAGAAATTGTTGTGTTAATATAAATAAATTTATATTTATAATGTTTTAAATTTGAAAAATTAAAGACATGTTAGTGTAAGTTTGAGTAAAAATTATAGAATAGTTGAAAATTCCTGATATTTTCCATAAATTCCGAAATATTAGGTTTACTATTAGTATTGAATATATTGTGAAATTTATAAGAAAATTTTCCAATTTTCAAAACATAATATGGGATTTTTTTTGAAATTTTTCACATCTTGTAGGTACTACTATGGTAATAATTAAATAAAAATAACATAAAATAATAAAAAAAGCATGGGTTTTTATGAAGAGGAAGTAGAAGCACTGGAAGGAATTATTATAACAAAATGGAAAAAATAAAATAGGTACATGTATTTACAAAAAAATATGTAAAATTTTTAAAATAAAAAAGTTTATCTTGAATTTGCCATGTTGTTATGTGGTATTATATTAAGAACAGTTGTTTACACTATATTTCAAGTTTTTATATGTGGATTTTCCAAAAATTTAATTAAATAAAAAATATACAATTTATTAGTTGATTGAACAAATAGATTTTCATATGGTTATTATGTAAGTTTCCTAATTTGCTGCTTGGAAAAACTATTTGTTTAATTTATTTTATATTTTAAACTTAATTGATTTTTTTATAATCTAATTTTGTTTTTTAGAAATAATTACTGATAAATTGTATATTTTTTACCCAAACTAATGTAGTTTGCAGGTTATCCTTTTTAAATATCACTGGGCAATAAAAAACTTTTTTGATATATTAAATATTTTTAATATTTATTTTTCACTTAGTTGTTATTTTGTCATAACTCCTTGGATACAAGATATGTAAATGTATCCATTACAACCGATGCACGGTGCGTAATGGATTCATTACGCCCTCAGAAAATAACATTATTTTTTTCAGTTTTATTTGAAGGGAAAAATAAAATCTTGTATGTTACTAGATGATTACATCCATCAAGCGACATCCATTCCTCGGGCCATAGGCCTTTGGGCTCACCAGGAGTAATCATCTTAATAACACCCTTGGTGCATAAATAGCTAGAACATCCTTAATTATTTTATCATCAAAAACAGCAATTTACACTGATTTGTTTGATTGCTTATAATTTAATCATTTAGTACGAAAATTTCTAAACTAAATCTATTATTACGGTAGTAAGTTACTTAGTTATTTTTAGTATTTTTGCTATTGCTATCCTTTAGGACATTATGTTGTTATTCATTTAAATGTTGCCCAGTGCATTTAGACACTCTACTACTATTGACACCTTAGGACTGACTAAAATAAATATTTTGGGAGCGCATTTTGATGTTAATTGCTCACCTTTGGAGCTTTGTGCGGTCTGGGGTGCTCCTCGAACGTGATCCGTTTGGCTGCGGTACTGCGTTGGCCTGTGGCAGCTGCTGCGCCAGTGGCACGGAACGGGAGGGCGCTTGCGGGGGTCAGGTGCTGCCAGGACAAGGACAATACGCTACAATACCACCACACGGACAAATCGAAATTCACTACACAACCCCAAACACTCACTCACAAACATTCAAACCCTAGGCTGTTTGGTTCTTTTTATAACGCCCCCATAAGTTTTGAAAAACTGCCCTTAAAAAGCCAGTGAATAAGGGACAGGCATAAGTTAACTTTACTAGTTTATGGTATAAATTAACTATAGATGTGAATCATGTAAAACTAACTTTATGTTTCCCATAAAAGAATGACACAAAAAGAAATGTATCAAATTATATCTATAAATTAACAATAATTTTTGTATCTGGCTTGTTGCAAAAAATATATACAGCACCATAGTAATATAAAACTTAAATCTAAAGTATAAAGAAAATACGTAACCTGCTTTTTATAAAGTGCATGAAAAGATACCACTACTTTACAGTGCATAATTATTAACAAATTAATAACAATAATACATACTGGCATTTCCAAAGTGATGAAAAAGGGTTACAGCATAGTAAACTTTTAAGTTAAAAAATGTTTTGACTTAGTTGTTTTAGTACCTACTAGACTTTGAGCCTCAAAAATAAATAAATAATAAATTACGTGACTGTATGCTGCAACACGAATTTTTATCAAAAAGAAGCCAATTATAACAAATCAACAAAAATATAGTAATCAGGGCTTTCCCATGTAAGACTTTAATTAATTACGTAAGTTCTTGTTTAGTTTATTAACATACAAGTGATACTTGCGATTTTTGTGCGATGGCATAAGCTGAACATTTATATTAGGTTTTGGGAAATTCTGGGTAATCGGATGCTTTGGTTTTTGTTAATGCTAAACTTTGTTTAGTTAGCACAGACTAGATGGAATGGAATTAATAAACAAAAATAGCCATTTAAAAAAATATAAAAACAAAATTGATGGTTAGTATCTAGGTAAGTGTTAATATACATAATAAATTGTTAGTAGTACTAAAGTCAGGCTATAATTATTTTAAGATAATATTGGTAGAATCAATCTCAAACAAAAGATAAACAAAAACTACCTGTACAAAATAACAATAAGCTACCAGAATAAATGCATAACAGAATATAAAGCAAAAACAATAAAGAGTAATAAATAGAAAAAAGAAAAAAATAATTTACAAGCAATGTCCCAAGGTAAAAAAAAATTAACAGAATATGGGATTAGAGAGGGGCAGGTACAGGAGTAAGTGTGTAAGTGTGTTTAAAAAAATAAGGATGGAAATAATGTTTTTAAGATGGGAACAAATTATCTTCAAAATGAAACCATCCATGTACCTTGGATGATCCGGAATGGGGTGGAAATTCCATCAGACCAGCCACTCCCAAAGAATCCTTCATTATCGACGATGGCGTCGAAAACAATATTGTATCATCAGTTAATGACTTGCTCTGAAAAAAGTAAATACGTTGAACATTTTTATAATGTAAAAAAGTATTAATCTACTTACTGGAGTTTCGATGGCGAAAGACATGTCCGAAGAACTGGTTTGTGATGTGGATGCCCATGAAGGTGCCAAAGATTTCCTGACTTTCTTATTTGGTAAAACATTTTCTTTTCCTGCTGCCAAATTTGACTTCCTCTTTCCTGTCATGTATCCACTATCATTCTGTAAAAAATAGATAATTAGGTACTATACACAATTTACCAAAATCAATTTATGGTTTTAATAAAAATTTAATTTACATATCATAATAGGAGCTAAAGTTTTATAATCGTCCAAATATAATAAATATATTTAAGTAACGTAAGTGGAAATACCACAATTTACAAAAATTGAACTTTAAAACGTTTTTATCTTCTGTAATTTTTTTAATTTGACTAGCGATGGACGTCACTTTTATTATGATAGTTTCATAAATGTCACAATCATAAGGAAAACTAAAAAGCTATAATTTCACAACTAATGCTATTAATATGATTAGGTCCTACTTAACAAATCATGTACAGCATGTTAGAGTAATTGCCTTAATGTCTGATAGGGATGTGAATTGCTATGGGGTTCCCCAGGGGCCTGTCGTTGTAGTCAGTCACGGGAGTCCACGGTCTATGCGCGGTTGATTATACTCATTTGTGCGCATTGGACACTTCCCCTTCTTTATCGCGCTGCCAAGCGATGCGTTTTCTATCTATTCTCATGCGGAGTTTACGCTCCTGAATAAAATATTCTTATGTCAATAGTATCAAAATATCTATCGTTTTGGTTAAATGTGGCTCGTTTTTTTGATATCTTGCGCCTCGAAAAAAATAAGCCTAGTGGCAACGCACAAAACGTTCTGTTCTGTGTTTTCTAAACCTGTGCACCATGTCCTTGTCTAGGCGTTCAGTAGTCATAAAAACAAGCTTAGTTTTAAATTTAAAGATGTAATTAAGAGTTAACGATAAGCAGTGGCGTAACTAAGCAAGCCCCCTGCCATGTATCTTTCTATATATAAGTTTATTTTTTTTAAAGCTACACGGTCGGTTATATTAGACAAAAGTTGCGTAATTGAAAGTTTATTAAAATGACATTTAAAAATTGGACTTTGTTATTCCCATTTATCTACATTATGTTTTTTTTTGTTTTAAAAGGTTTTTAGTTTTTGCAAATACTTAAGAACCCATGTTTTTTTTCTTCAATTTAGGTAATTTTCTCTAATTTAACCAAATTTTTATAAAGAAATACTCATAGAAGTATACAAATATTCTATAGGATACTTGGTGCACCCTGTATAAGAAGGGGGATTTAGGAAATGAGGTTTACCGATTACCTTTATCAAAATACGTTTAGACGCAAAATTATGTATGAAAAAAATCTCCAGATCAACCTTTATGCGCACGTATCATTGGCACCCCCCCGCAACGCGGGGTTTGCGGGGGCGTTATTTAAGCCACTGATGACAAGTTAAATGATTGTATTTAAAAATAAATTTTAAATTACAATTCCAATGTTTCCTGTTTTTATTATTAAAAATGTAACATAACATGCATGCAATCAGTTCTTGAATTTGTAATGCCTGTCATTTTTGAATTAAAATTAGGTAATTAAGAGCATAAAAATATAAAAACATAATATTATGGTAACCCAAGGTAGTAGTAAACGGATTTTTTTATAGCTGTTTATAGGGTAGTTAAAAAACGTTTACATGTATTACTAAATAAATGATAAAAATAAATAAATGATTAAACCACAAGTACCTATTTGGTATCTTTAAAAAGCTCTCGCTGCGAGCTTCTATTTAAAAAAAATCAGATACTTCATTATAGTATAGTACAATGTGACCGGTCATTTACCAACTTCAATTTTGGGGCAAACGCCGATGACCCCGATATATTCGGTTCGAATTTATATGTTTTCATAAAAAAAGGGTTTTTATGTAAAAAAAATAATGGGCATTTTCTAATATACACTTCTCCAAGAAATTAACGCACCACATAAAAATAACCAAAAGTTTTAAGTAAATTTTTTACAAAACCAATTGTCCGATTTGAACGTATTATATATATATAGATACGGTTTTTCGAGTACCGGGGATAGACGCAGGATGAATTGTTCTAGTAGAAAATTCCGTAAACCAAAAATCGCAAAATTGTTGGTTACGGCGTTTTCATTAAGCACGGCAGTACAATGTACAATAAATTTACAAGCTGGAAATAAGAAAAATAGACAAACGTACACAGTAAACAATATAAACTACACTGAACTTCAAGTTAACTTAAAATCAATGCTCTCCACACCAGAACAGATATGGACTTTAATAAACTTTCTATTGTATTAAAAAAAGAAATTGATCAAGCAACTACAACTTCTGTACGAAGATTCACAAATTCAACACATGAAGGATGGTACTAGAGGTGTGTTGCGATTTCGCAAACTGCTACTTTGTCACTGCTCCGGTGGCGTCGCAATCGCAAACTGCTCCGCGGCAGTAAAAATCGCAGCGACATTTCGGAGCAATTTAAAATTTAAATTGCTCCGAAATTTTAATTATACCAGGCCGTCGCTGTTGCTCTCTTCAGCAGCGACCGTGTGGGGAATTGTTCCACATGTATTTATCAATATGTGATTGAACTTATTGGTAGATAACTCGTACAAAAAACTTTTTAAACTTAGGTTTGCTTTTAAATGTTTATAGTTTTTAGGTTTAAACAGTTGGTACGGTACCACGGAAAAGCAGTCAGACCTATTCGACTTTATGCTGTCCTAATACTTACGGGCATTTAAAATCTTATTTAAACGGGCGTTTAAAAAAACTATTTCAAATTTTTTCTTTCTATTTTTGCCTGCGGCCGAAAATCTATGTTAAATTATTGTGATAAATAGCAATTTACGGTTTTATCGTTATTTAATGCTTTTTAATATCAGTGAAAAAAATTATTTTGATAAATAGCAACTCACGGTTTAATATTTTTTTTAATATCAGTGAAAAAACACAATTCGTAAAATATCGCTAAGTGAAAAATCACAGATCACGCTAATTAATAGATGTAAGTAGCAGTCGTTATTCGTGATTTTTAAATATCAGTGAAAAAACACAGTTCGTGAAATATCGCTTATCTCTAGTTGCTTCGCCGTTCGCACTTTCGCCAGTGTTTTGCTTTTACCGTGGCACTGCTCAAACAAAACTGCTCTGGAGCATCGCAAATCGCATTGCTTCGAAAAATCGCTGCTTTTTGTCACAGTGTTCCGGCCGGAGCAGTCGCATTGCATCGCAGCTCTTGAAAAATCGCAAACCGGCCCACCTCTAGATGGTACACTAAAGAGGTACCTAGATACAAAAAATTAAAGAACGTGACATAGCTTATGTAAATTACAGGAGGAGGCCGCCTAATTCTGATCTTCAAAGTAAGTTTAAGAATCCTTAAACTGCAGATAGATGTAAAAAACCTAATATAAAGAAATAAAAAGGAATATGCACAAAAACAATTTGAAAATTTTCAAAGTTAACTCCAATGTATCAGCTGAAAAACAGTGGAAATTGATAAACAGCTATTTAACACAAGAAAAAATAGAAATAACAATACAGTCAATTCTTAATGATAATCTGGAAGAAATTAATAATCCTCAAGATATGTCAAATTATTTTAATGAACAGTTTATCAATAAAACAAGAACACTTAATTGTAATAAAAATGCTAATAAAAGTACTACTCCCATTAACAATTGCCAAACATGTATGTATCTAAAGAAAACTAATCCAACTGAAATTGAAGACATTATTAAAAAGCTAAAAAACAATCCTGCTATAGGTGATGAAAAAATTAAGCCAAAAGTAGTGAAAAAAATCTCAAATACTTTAAGTCCTATTTTATCAAATATAATTAATCAACATCTACAAGAAGGACCCTTTCCTGACATTCTTAAGATAGCTAAAGTGACAGTGATCCATAAGTTCAAAAAAGCAACCGAACAACTATAGGCCTATATCAGTGCTGTTTGCAAAAATCTTTGAAACTGTATTAAAGATCAGAATTCTGAACTACCTTAAGGTTAATTAACAGTTTTATGAAAGAAACACGCTATAATTGCTACACCCGGTATTTGTAAAAAAGAGGTTTCTATCGGAATACAGATAGTATACGAACATTTTAAAAGGGACAACCTACCTATTATTTAAAAAAACGTTCAAATCGGACAATTGGTTTTGACAAAAATTTACTTAAAACTTTTGGTTATTTTTTGGTGGTGCGTTAATTTCTTGGAGAAGTGTATAAAACAGATTTTGTAGTCCGCCAGTATTTAGTAACCTTTCATTAGTAAATTAAATCCTGAAATATCCACGTAAAACACTGCAAAAAATATTGGCCATATTCAATTTTTATGGACCTAAATATGGTTCTATTCAAGATTTGACCTTTTATATTCGCAGCTTATGCGTCCAAATACTTTGTTGCTCTTATATTTTGTAAATAGTCATTAAATATTTTGTGATGAATATTCACATATTAAGTTTCTCAATACCTACCTCTTTACAGTATTCACAGTCAAAGTTTATGTATGATCTGATTTCTATACCTGAGTCAAGCGAATATATTTTTTGATGAATAGGAATTCGATATAGGCAATTCAAGCCCTGCTTAAAATACCCCATAGAGACCTATACAAAATAATCTATCGGGCGCTACCGGATTCTATATGTGCATTTGTCCATGGGTTTTTCCGGATACAGCCCGATAGAAAATGTATAGGAAATTACCTATAGGCACACCATAACTTTTACATTTTCCCTATTGAGACCGATAGAAAATAACTCAATGAAGGATATATAGGGATATCCCTATAGAGCAACCATAAAACATTTGACAAAATTTTATTAAAACCTATAGGGTCCTATAGGGAAAAAACTAATTTCTACATTTATGTGTATTTTCCCCATTGAAACCGATAGCAAATAAATCAATGGTGGATATCCCTATAGAAGAACCATAAATCTCAACTACGGGTCCTATACAAACCGATACACCCTATAGAAACACCATACATCCCGATACAAGTATCTATCGGTTTGAACAGGGTCTCTATGGGGTATTTTAAGCAGGGAGGTGCTGAATCCTTCTCAATATATTAAGTTTCTCAATACCTCTTTAAATTATTCACAGTCAAAGTTGATGTATGTTCTGATTTCTGAT